GACTTATTAAATATGTGGGTCCGATGATTTCCGCGCCCCAGTGGAGATGAACCATATACGTACGGGCAAAGCAACCAGGGTCGGTCCCAACCACCTCCCGCAACCGACTGCAACCGTAACCGCAACCACAACCAACCCCTGAACATTCCGCCCAGAAAGTAATTGCAATCACAACCACAATCACAGCCAACCGCAATCAAAGAAAGCAACCGGACCCAACTCCGACAGCAGAGCCATGCACGTATAGGCCCCTCTGAATGGGGATTCCGTAATTTGGGTTCGCTCAAATGAATTCCTTATCATGGGTCCCTCCCTCGAGGCGACCCCAGCTCATGCGCCCCATCGCTGTAAAATATGCCATTGGCGCTATAATTACTGCGTCAGAGACACCAGGCTTGCCCGCAAATGGAATATCTTTAAAGGGTTATACTGTAATTGATTCGTCCAAATGCTCTCCTTCTCATGGGTTCCTTCCTCGAGGCGAACCCCCTTCGTGCTCCATATCACTCTTTGATTCATTATTGGAGCTATAATGAATCAATTTCTGACACCAGACTTACTCGCCATTGGGATATCGTAAGGGCTTGTGGTGTATTAATTACGTTTAAATGCATCCTTAATTACTTGCTCCTCACGCGAGGCGACCCACAATCATGCTCCAATAGTTATGATTGCGTTGTTGGAGCTGTAATTGGTGCGGCTGCTGAAACCATACTAGCCCGCCAGTGGAATAACATTAACAGATCAAAAAGCAACCATCCCGATGCTGCGCCGCCTCTCACAGAATCGCAAAAGAGCCATCAATCCGTCAATCCCTTCCGTGATCAAACCAGGTGAGGTTTCCCTTGTTAACTCAAATTAAGCCACAGGCTCCACTCGCGGTGGTGCCTCTCCGTCAATTCCTTAAAATTTTTACGCACGGCTAAATGCTCTCTTAATCACAGGTCCCTCCCTCGAGGCGAACCCCAATGAATCAGCTTCTGACATCAGACTTTCCCGCCATTGGCATATTGTAAAGGCTTGATGTGTATTCTTTGCGTTGAATGCATCCTTAATCACTTGTCCCTCAAGCAGGGCAACTCACAATCATGCTCCATTATTCAAATGACGGTATTGGAGCTGGAATTACCACGGCTGCTGGCACCAGACTTGCCCTCCGATGGATCCTCGTTAAAGGATTTAAAGTGTGCTCATTCCAATTACTGGGCCTCGAAAGAGTCCTGTATTGTTACTTTTCGTCACTACCTCCCCGAGTCGGGAGTGGGTAATTTGCGTGCCTGCTGCCTTCCTTGGATGTGGTAGCCGTTTCTCAGGCTCCCTCTCCGGAATCGAACCCTGATTCCCCGTTACCCGTGGTCACCATGGTAGGCACAGAAAGTACCATCGAAAGTTGATAGGGCAGACATTCGAATGAGGCGTCGCCGCCACGGAGGGCGCGATCGGCCGAGATTATCTAGAGTCACCAGCGGCGGGCGCACGGAGGCACCCCAGATGGGTTTTGGGTCTGTTATGGCCCCAATTTGCACTGGACGCCTCGCGGGCCCGTCTCCGCCGCTCCGGATTTCGGGATCTGAACCCGACTCCCTTTCGATCAGCCGGGGGTGACGGAGGCCATCGCCCCTCCCTTCCAAACGGCGTTCGCCCATCTCTTAGGACCGACTGACCCTTGTTCAACTGCTGTTCACATGGAGCCCTTCTCCACTTCAGCCTTCAAAGTTCTCGTTTGAATATTCACTACTACTGCCAAGATCTGCACCCGCGGCGGCTCCACCCGGGCCCACGCCCTAGGCTTCCGTGCTCACCGCAGCAGCCCTCCTACTCGTCGCGGCTTAGCCCTCGCGGCTCTGATAGCCAGCGACGGCCAGGTATGGGCCTGACGCTCCAGTACCATCCATTTCCAGGGCTAGTTGATTCGGCAGGTGAGTTGTTGCACACTCCTTAGCGGGTTCCAACTTCCATGGCCACCGTCCTGCTGTCTATATCGACCAACACCTTTTCTGGAATCTGATGAGCGTCATCATCGGGTGCCTTAACCCAGCATTTGGTTCATCCCGCAGCGCCAGTTCTGCTTACCAAAAGTGGTCCACTAGGCGGCTCGCATTCCACGCCCGGCTCCAAGCCAGCGAGCTGGGCTTCTTACCCATTTAAAGTTTAAGAATAGATTGAGATCGTTTTGGCCCCAAGACCTCTAGTCATTCGCTTTACCAAATAAAACTGCAAGACTGTCGAGAACCAGCTATCCTGAGGGAAACTCCAGAGGGAACCAGCTACTAGATGGTTTGATTAGTCTTTCGCCCCTATACCCAGGTTGGACGGCCGATTTCCATGTCAGGACTGCTGCGGACCTCCACCAGAGTTTCCTTTGGCTTCGCCCTACCCAGGCATAATTCACCATCTTTCGGGTCCTATCGCATGTGCTCACGCTCTACCTCCCCTTTGGACCAGGCATGACTGGCCGGTGGTGCGACCCGCGCAGGCTCCTCGGCCAAGGCCGCTGGAGAGCAACGGGATCCCATCTCGGCAGGCGTCGCGCCTGACTTCACTTTCATTGCGCCATGGGGTTTCACAGAGAGCCCTTTGACTGGCGCTCGCGTTAGACTCTTTGGTCTGTGTTTAAAGGCGGGTTGGGGGGTTGCCGACATTGCCGCGTATCCCTGGCGCCCTCGTATCATGAGTGCCCAGCGGCGGCAACACGGTTGGGCACGCACTGAGGACAGTCCGACCCGGTCGACAGTCGCGTCGGGGGCGGGGGGCCCCGTCCCAAGCATGAGCCCCCCGCCGCCCCCACCGGACACGCCGCGAAGGGGCCGGCGGGGCGGTAGTGTTGGGTGGCCGGGTCATGAATTTTCAATATGATGGGCATGTGTAATCACTTATGACACAAATGGATAAACGTGCTTTTGATGACTTTAAAGGCTTTAGCTTGAGCTTAACAATTGTCAATTGCCTCCATGACAGATCATGTTTAGGCCCATGACCACTTCCTAACTGCCATCAAGCGGTTTGTCCTTGAATTAGATGACCGTTTTTGCTGTTGTAGGAATTTTACTCTATTTCACTTTATTCTGTAAAGTATTTACTGACACAGGATATCTGCATTTAAGTTTACAACAGTGGTAACATTCAGCTTGGCCAAAAAACTTTGTGCTCTGCTCGTACTTATTTCTCTGGCATCTGGTGTTGATTTTGACCTCCAGTGCTTGGTTTTCCAAGCAAAATAAGAAAACTATATCTTTGAGCCCTTCCCAAAAGTCCGCTTGTCCTTGATCTAATGCTCTCCAAGCCTAGAGCTGTTAAGCCAAAATGGCTACGAAGAATTTGGTTGACTCATTTCTGTACTTGACTTAGTGTTGTCAAAATACATCCAATGCTGAAATACTGGAATATGGAGACAGAGAAATCTTTTGGGGATTTCGGAATGCGTCATTGTAGCTCCTGGACGAAATCAGGCGGCTACTATGGATTCACGTGTGTCGTCTCTCCGCCGCCGCTGCGTCCACATCCGTAGACACTTTCTTGTGGATGCTCTACAGGCTGTAATTTTTGACCAATTTCTTTCATATTTTGTATGGACATGTTTTGTACTGCACATATGACACCTATCAATTTTGGTTGCCGTGGCGACAGTATTAGCCAAATTATATGCAAATTAGTGGCGAAACATGGAGATTTCCTTGTGGACGAAGTACAGGCTGCAATTTTTGAACGATTACTTTACTTTGGTATGGACATGTGTCACACTTCACTAAGGACACCTGTCAATATTTGTTGCCATGGCAACCATATTGGCCGAATAATATGCAAGTTTTTGCTGAAATATAAACCCTTCCTTGTGGATGCTGTACAGGCTCTAATTTTTGACGGATTACTTTCATAATTGGTATTTGCATGTGTTATATTTCACTTATGACACCTATCGATTTATAGTTTACATGACGACTTAGTCTACTGATTTGCTAGCCACAAATTAGCACTCAATTTACTGTGAAAACTTTATTTTTCATTTGTGGTATGTTGTGAACAGTATGAATAGTTTTGTATCATATATGGGTTTTATTGCCAAGCCTTGTGCCAGTTCACTCACTGGCAAAAACATAGCATATGTAAGATGTAAATATTGTATCGAAGTAGATGACAAAATGTCTGTGAATGCATCTCATGTTGCTCTTCATCATATCTTTACTAAATATCAGCATGGGACTATTGAAAATGTTTTAACTGCCCTAAATGCAAAGCATAGACTATATGTTATCGCTGCTTATGATTCCTGTATGATTAATGCTATGTAACAAAGTGCAGCATGTGAATAAATGTACAGGTATTGTGATGATATTGTACCAGTATGGAGTAGAACTCACTGTTTAAAAAGTTACCCTTTCAAGGGGTAACTGTCTCACCATTTGTTGGTGTGAGGTCCAGAATATCAAATTGATGATATTCTTATTGTTCTTGACATATGTGTACCTTCACCGTTATTTCACTGGCGGCCGAGGCCTCCCACTTATTTTACACATCTCATGTCTCTTCACAGTGCCAGACTAGAGTCAAGCTCAACAAAGTCTTCTTTCCCCGCTGATTTTGCCAAGCCTGTTCCCTTAGCTGTGGCAACGAGCCACCTTCCGCTCGGGTCCTTCCTGGCCGACCGGGAGCCGGTCACGGTGCACCGCTGCGAAGGAAATGCACCCGGCAGTGAACGGGTCCAGCCAAGCGACAGTCCCAGAGAGGGGATCCACCGACACCGGCACGGCCGACGCTCACCGCCGAGTTCAGAAGTGGTCAGCCTTCAGGGCTCATTGGTCTAAGGGTATGATTCTCGCTTTGGGTGCGAGAGGTCCTGGGTTCAACTACCAGACGAGCCCTTGATGTGGTGCTTAGTTGTGATCCTTTCCCAGCTACTTGCTTGCCTAGCTGATTAAAACTGTTCAGAGTTTGTACTGTTGCACAGAATTGGGACTCTATTCTCAGTCCAGCTGCTTGGCTGCACTACCTATGACATGCCAGTATCGTTGGTCTAGGGGTATGATTCTCGCTTAGGATGCAAAAGGTCCTGGGTTTAACTCCCAGACGAGCCCTTGGCGTGATGCTTAGCTGTAATACGTTCTGGAATATCTGCTTGTATATCCTGCATATGCTCTTGAGAGTTTGCAGTGATGCTCAAAATAAGGAGTGTATCCTCAGATTGCTTGGCTATGCTTCCAATGACATGCCAGTATATCTAAAAGAATAGTATTTAGTCCTTACAGTTGCAATGCTCGTGAATATTATATAGGATGGACATATGTCAGTACTTCAGTACACATTTTTATCACAGGGTTTTAAAGGCATCAGAGACCACATCTTGAGTCCAACAACTGTCATTAGCCTCTTGGATTGATCATGTTTAAGCACATGACTTCTTTCTGTTTGTCACCAGGCAATTTGCCCTTGAACAAGATACCTATTTTTTGCTTTCTTAAGAATTTTACTCAGGATTTTCTGTGAAGTCTTTGATGACACAAGATATCTACATTTAAGTTTAAAACACGAGCGGGGCAAAAACTGGAGCTTTGCTGTAATCTGTCATGATCTGCGAACAAGGTTAGCAACTGGGTCTGGGTTGCCTTTACACTCTAACAGTCTGTTTTTGAGCGAGCATGTACCATTGGGAGACGAAAAACCCAGAGCATGCATTGGATGGCAATCTGACGCAAGTCAACTGTTGGGAAGGTAGCCATGCTCTCCTTTGTAACCCCAACAGATACTAAGGTACAGCGTGGTCATTCCCTCAACTTCATTCATTGACTTGAGATTCTGACCATTTTAACTGTCTGACATGCTAGAGGATCTTGGTGAAAGAGCCCATTCCAGATCGTGGTGGAAGAAGCCAGCCCATTTCAGGGCTCGTTAGTCTAGGGGTATGACTCTCACTTCAGGTGCGAGAGGTCCTGGGTTCAGCTCCCCGACGAGCCCTTGATGTGGTGCTCAGTTGTGATCCTTTCCCATCTACTTGTTTGTCTAGCTGTTTAGCGCAGTGGTCTTTAACGTCGTTCCTGGGGACCCCCTGTGTATGCTGGTTTTTGTTCCAACCACAATTGTAATCGCAAGATTTTAACAAGCTGTCAATTAGTCTTAAGTAAGTGCATTTAATGTTTAAGGCAGTTATTTGCTCTCTTAACCCACATGTTAACGGAAATATTTGTGTGTGCCATCATGAATTAAAAAAATGCCATACCTGCATTGCGTTGATGGGAAATAACAGCATGAAATGAGAGAAAACAATGTAACCAATCAAATTATAGAAGTGGTAGGCTCCTAATTGGTGAAAACTAATTGGCACATCCTTACAAATTTATTTGACAAGCAAATGGTAAAGGGTCAAACCAGTTTTCTGTTATATTAATCTAATTAAGTTCACCTGAAGTTTTTTGAAAAAACTTGAAACAGACGTGTCCAGCAGCCTAATTTGGGGTTTACTGATTTCCTCAGTGTCTCATTTGATCTTCTTGAAAAGTTACATTGCTTGAAATTTCTTGCGGTATAGAAATAAACACATTATCTTCTAGGGTATTTTATTCATCATAGCATGTATGGATGTTTCTATGTAACATTTGGATAAAGAGAGTAATTAACAACTCTAAACATTAAAAACACCTAATTAAGAAATTAACAGCTAGTTATAACCCTGCGATTACAATTGTAATTGGAACAAAAACCAGCATACACAGGGGGTCCCCAGGAACAATGTTGAAGACCACTGGTTTAAAGTTTGTATTGTTGCACAAAACAGGGACTCTATTCTCAGTCTTGCTGCTTGGCTGCACTACCTAATGACATGCCAGCATACCTCAGAGAATAGTTTTTAGTCATGAATATTCTATATGATGGGCATATGTCATCACTTGTGACACAAATGTAAAAACACGCTTTTGATGACTATAGGCTATAGGTTATAGCTTCAGCTCAACAATTGACAATTGCCTCCATGACAGATCGTGCTTAGGCCCATGACTTCTTCCTAACCTCCGTCAAGCGGTTAATCCTTGAACTAGATGACCATATTTGCTGTTGTAGGAATTTTACTCTATTTCACTGTATTCTGTAAAGTATTTAATGACACAGGATATCTGCATTAAAGTTTACAACAGGGGTAACACCCAGCTTGGCCAAAAAACTTTGTGCTCTGTTTTTACTTATTTCTCTGGCGTCTGGTGTTGATTTCGACCTCCAGTGCTTGGTTTCCTGAGCAAAATAAGAAAAATATATCTTTGAGCCCTTCCCAAAAGTCCGCTTGTCCTTGATCTAATGCTGTCCAAATCTTGAGCTGGTAAGTCAAGATGGCTACGAAGAATTTGGTTGACTCATTTCTGTAACCTAACATCACATAACATATTATAACATGAGTGGCGATAACAGGCCGTTCAGCCCAACTAGGCTCACCAGTTTCTTTTTACTATTGTGAAATCACTTCCGATACTCAATGACTCAATGGTATCTATAGCTTTAAGTCAAGCCTACTCTTGAAAATTCCCAAGGTTTCTGCCTCAACAATGTGGTCAGGCAAGCTATTCCACATCGAAATTACTCTTTGGGTGAAAAAATATTTCCCAACATTAGTGCTACATTTATCCTTGGTCAACTTTCATTTGTGACCCTGAGTTCTACTAACAAAACTTGGCCAAAGGAATCCTACATAATTCACTTTGTTAATCCCTTTAACATATTTAAAGACCTCAATCAGATCACCCCTAAGTCTCCTTTTCCTCAGACTAAAGAGATTAAGGATCTTCAGCCTCCTCTCATAGCTTTCATGTTTTATACCCGGAATTAGCTTAGTGGCTCTTCTCTGAACTTTTTCTAGAGTCTCTATATCTTTCTTAAAGTATGGTCCCCAGAACTGTACACAATACTCCAGATGTGATCTGACGAATGTGTTGTACAAGAGAAGTATGACCTCCTTGGACTTGTACTCAATACTTTTGGCAATATATTTCAGCATCCGATTGGCTTTTTTAACTGCTACGGAACAATGGCTAGAGCCTGTGAGAGTTTGGTCAACAATCACTCCCAGATCTTTTTCATGTGGAGTACATTCCAGTTTGAAACCTCCCATGAAGTAACCCTGTTTAATGTTTTTATTACCTGCATGTACAACTTTACATTTTGCTACATTAAATTTCATTTGCCACATTTCTTCCCAATTCTGGATTCTATCCAAATTATCCTGAATCACTTTAGTGGACTCTAAACTATTTGCCAAACCTCCAAATTTAGTATCATCTGCAAATTTAACTAATTTGCTCTCAATATTCCACTGAAGGTTATTAATGTAGATGAGGAACAGCAGGAGTCCCAACACAGATCCCTGAGGGACGCCACTCCCCACCATACCTATCTCAGATAGGATTCCACTGACCACCACTCGTTGTGTTCTGTCCTGTAACCACTTTTGAATCCACTCCAGAGTACCTCCTGTAAGTCCAATGCAGCTCATTTTAAAAATTACTCTATTATGCAGTACTGTATCAAGTGCTGTCTGAAAATCCAAGTATATGATGTCATAAGCCCTGCTCTGGCCATAAGTCTTGGTGGCCTCTTCAAAGAATTCCAGAAAGTTTGTCAGCAATGACCTTCCCTTACGGAAACCATGTTGGCTATCCCTCAAATATTATAACATTCAAGAAATAATTCCAGCTCGTCTTTTATGATGTATTGCACACAAAATACTGGAATCTAAGTTAAACTGACTGGCCTGTAATTTCCTGGCTCAGTACGGTCCCCTTTCTTATATATTGGTATTATATTGCCCTGCTTCCAACCCTTTGGTATTTCTCCAGTTTCTAGAGACCATCTGAAAATAGCTGAGAGTGGTTTAAAGATGATCTCACAAAGTTCCCTGAGCACTCGAGGATATAAGCCATCAGGACCCGCCGCCTTATCTGCCTTTAGTTTATGCAACTTGTCTAATACTTCATTATCCCTAATCTCAATTTCCGCTAAATAATCTTGAGCATTTAACATGCCCTCTGGCCGAATAAGACCCACTCTGAGGTAAAATTCTCAAAAAGTAACTGTTTAAGGCATCCGCAATATCCTTGTTATCATACAGCAGCGATCCATTTTTATTCTTTATGCACTTAACCTGCTCTTTGACTTTCCTTTTTCTGCTACAGTACTGAAAGAAGCGCTTAGGGTTAGTTTTTGCCCCCTCTGCAATTTGCCTTTCATACAGTCTTCTAGCATTCTTCAGCTCTTTTTTGACCACAGCCCGCATTTTACAGTATTCAGCCTTAGTATTCTCATTGTTATCCTTTATGTACATCTTATAAAGATTCCTCTTTTCCCTCAAACTCCAACGAATAGCTGTGGTCATCCACTGAGGATTCTGCTTTTTCAGCTTACTTTTGGACATCTTTGGAAGGAATTTGCATTGTGAATCAAGTAAAACCCCCTTAAATCTTTCCCACATTTCATTTCAGACTCACAGTCCAGGAGTGTCTCCCATTTTATTTTGCTTAGATATGAGCGCATCCTGTCAAAGTTTGCTTGCCTAAAATTGAAAATTTTGGTTTTCGAAGACACCTTTTTAACTTGCCACAAAACATCAAAATTTACAGTAAAGTGATCGCTAGTCCCAAGTGGCTCTAGAACCTCAACATTGCTAATTCTATCAGGGTCATTACAGATCACTAAATCTAAAATTGCCTCTCTCTTGTAGGTTTATTAACATACTGCAACAAAAAATTGTCATTCATAACATCTAGACATTCTTCCTCCCCTTTACCCTGTCCTTTCACCATTTCCCAATCGATACCAGGATAATTGAAGTCTCCCATAATAATAGTCCCTCTTCCTCTACAAGCTTGCCTAATGCTCTTAACCCCTGAGCCTCTGGCTTGAAAATGACATTCCCAAAATGAAATGAGTATATCTCTACAACGAATTGGTTGGTTTGAATAATCTTGGTATCATAATAAAGATAACACCTTGGGGATTTTTGTTAAGTTGCAAAAATCTGTGTATATGTCACTGAGTCAGAGTAAATGAAGATGGAATACTGAATAAATGAAATATCTTTTTTGCACCAAACAAAGTTTTACTTTTATCTGTCTGAGAATTAATCATTTGCAGTCTGAAACCCCTAAAAAATTACAGCACAGAATCTCACCAATATCTGTGCCAAAGTTTATTCTAAACAAGTAAATCAGAGCAAAATTAGAGAGGTTTTAGTTCGGAAATATCTTGGTGGCTTCTCCAAGCTGACTCTGTGCCATTTCATACAAGCCAATTCCGAAATAGTTGGGATGAAGTGTAAATTGTGAATAAAATCAAAATGCAATGACTTTCAGATCACATGAGCCAATATGTTATTTACAATAGAACATAGATAACATTTCAAATGTTGAAACTGAGACATCTTATAATTTTATCCACAAAATGAGCTTATTTCAAATTTTCTGGCTGCAACAGGTCTCAAAGTTGGGACACAGGCAAAAAAGGGCTGAAAAAGCAATTAATATATAAGAGAATCAGCTGCAAGAACATATAGCAAGTAATTAAGTTAACTGGCATCAGGTGTGTAACATGATTGGCTATAAAAGGGATGTCTTAGAGAGGCTGTTCTCTCAGAAGTAAAGATGGCCAGAGGCTCTCCAACCTGTGAAGGCTTGCGTAAAAAAATTGAGGAATACTTTAAAAACAATGTTCCTCAACGTCAAATTGCAAAGGCTTTGAAGGTCTCATCATCGACAGTGCGTAACATCATCAAAAGATTCAGAGAAACTGGAAAAATCTCTGTGCGTAAGGGACAAGGCCGAAGACCTTTACTGGATGCCCGTGCATCACTCACCGGCATGATTCTGTCATTGACATTACTAAATGGGCACAGGAATACTTCAAGAAACCACTGTCAGTAAACACAGTCCGCTGTGTCATCCACAGATGCCACCTAAAACTTTATCATGCAAAAAGGA